AAGTAACCCATTACTTCTCAACATTCTAGTTTTGTAACAGTGATGGAAGTTATAAAGGGATGGAAAAAGTAAAAATGGATTTTAGTGTTTGCTTCTAAAAAACTAATTTCAGCCAGCAACATAGAGATGTTAGTCATCTCCTACAAAAGCTGTGATATTTCTCTTTTAAATTTAAATATTCTAAGAACAAAACAAGATTTCTCTTTTTTTCTGTTGATGACCTTGATCAAGATACCATTTTTCAGTTTGCATACTAAATATTTCTAAATACAACAGTAAGAGCATTGGTAGTTAGTTATACTGTTTTTGTGGAAAATGCTCCAATAATTTAATCTCTTCATAAACACTTAGTAATTGTATAGTGAGTGAAATTAAAAAATAAGGAACTTCCCCCCAAATGCTAACAATGTACTTCAGTCATTTAGTCGTATTATTTGAGTTAAATTGCTACATGTTTTGGGTTCCTATTACATGTATGAATGTTAAGAATTGGTGTCTTACACTGGGTGCATAAAGCATGCTTCATCCTTACATTAGAGGAGTTGGGTACAGAACCTCATTTTAAAGAAATAATTCTCCTTGTGCAGAAACTCACTTGGTCTTGACAATTAGGCAAGGACCCAGCTGTAAGGAGTCCAGTTACTGTAACAGAAAATCTGTGTTGTACTTCCTATTCTGATTTAGGTTTCATGCACAGTCAATTCTTAAATCCAGAAAAATAGTTCACCTGAATGCATGATAATACTAAATACAATTTGACTGTACCGTTCCATAGATAATGCTTGCCAACTCTAATGTGCTTTAGCTTGTCAAAGATGCAAGTGTATATTTAAATTTATAGTACTATGTATTCTAAAGATAGAATTGACTCTCAGTTGGTGTGGTTACAAGAGGGCAGGATAAGACAAAGCCAGGCTACAAGAACATGTGCTGAGGTGGTAAGAAGAAAAGAGGTCAGAAAACCCCTGGCCAGCATCCAGTAAGTGTAGCCCTAACAGTGCAAACAGGGCTGTCCCGCCTTCGAGCGCGGGCTCGCCCCTACCGAGCTGCATCAAGTGTCTGTGCACACACCACGGCTAATCCACCCCCCCGCAAGCCAGAGTTAACTCTGTGGATTGCATTTTGAATACCAGGAGCAGGGTGAGTTCTCTGGCCAGTTGCTTCATGAAGTGACAGAGATTTGAATGCCGCTTTATCGTAAGTGACACAATACTCTGAACCTCCCCAAATCTTTTCGTATTTTAATTTACTTCCATTTTATTTGTGTGAAATTCTTCACTACTCAAGATAGTAAAACCCCAGTGACAGATTCTGTACTGTGAAGAGTCTGCAGTCTGATCTCTTCAAACCCAGTACAGAAAGCCCTTACGTTCTGTAAAATTTACAATTGGAACAAAATTACTATTTTATTAAGATTCCACCATCAGATCATCACGTTACCATTGATTTTAGTTACAACTGTGTTTAACAGAAACAAATTGATCCTTGCTATGTAGTTGATACCTGTAAGTGTGAAGGCCTTTTGTGAGATGTCTCCCAGTTATAGTGTAACTTGTACAAAAGACATATGAAGCTAAATGCTAAATTAAACTTCTGACAAGAGCATCACTATAATCTTTTTCCTTGAACAGTAACAGTAGCTGATTATATATCACGAGCTGAATCTCAAAGTAGACAGAGAAACCCTCCAAAGGAGACACTAGCCAAAACCAAGAAAGAAACGGTAAGAATAATTTTTTTTTAATGTATGTTTCCTTTTTTCTCTTGACTTGCAGCAAAATAGCAAAGGAATGCTTCATATAGATCACACTCATTTGACTACAAATGCAGTTGCCTTAAGAATAAATGAAAAGCAAAAATGGCCCAGAGTAAACAGAACTGACTTGTAGACTGTCACTGCAGACTTTAGTGACCAGTGTAATGCTCAAATTAACTCTTCAAACATTTTAAAATACTACACTTACTAATGTATCATTACATAGTAAAATGTGAAAATTATCCATGAATGAGTCTTGAGAACTAATCCTTAAAACAATTTATAGAGGATACTAGGTTGCATGTTTAGTGACTTGTACAAACTATTATACAAAGAATCAAGGTTAACAGAGATTGTGGGTTTGAGATTTATTCTCCTTAAAGGACCAGAGTGCATTACATGTCATTAATAATATTCAGAACTTCATAAAGCCAAATTCCTTTACTTCTAAGGTAACATTGAGTTTACCGCCACAAGTTATGTCCGAGTTTAGCAAGACAGGAAAGATCCATTGCTGTATGATTAATACAATCTAATCTTACTATAGGCTTTGAAAGGGGTATAAAACTCAGCTTTTCAGTTAACTTCATGGGCTTAGACAAACTGAAATTGTGAAGTAAAACATGGCGGGTGTGTTGGGAGTGTGCTGTCTCAGGGTTACCTTGGCATGAGTTCCTTGGAAATGTCCGATACTCAAGTACCCTGTAAATGACAAAGTCAGAGGGTGCTGTAACTGATGAACTGCTGACACAGACAGACCAGAGGTGTTTCCAATTGCATAGCTCCTGTGTGAGCCAGAGGGAAACTTAGACCTATGCTCCATATTTTTATGGAATTTTTAATATTATCCTGGTTTTGTTTTTGCAAGGCAAAAGATGCGATTGATGAAAACAGCCCTTCCGAAAAGGCAGTGAATGGTCCTGCTACAACCTCTGGGGATGAGCCTTCTAAACTACAGCACAGTCCTGATGAAAAGAAAGTTACTGTTCAAGAGGATGGAAATAATCAGGAAGAAGCAGTGCTGAATGGTGTTTCATAAACTGAAGTTCCTAGTTTACAGTTCTTTTACATTACATTTAAAATAGTGCTTGTATAAGCTTGCCAAAGATAGAATATGGATCGCCAGTCTTGACACCGCACTTTCAGTTCCTCCATTTTGGAATACAGAAAGGGGAGGGATCCTGAAGAAATCATATGTTAAACATACTTTGACACCTACTGTGTTATAAATATATCATCAGATGTGCCTTGAGATAGTATATGTAACATTTAAATAAACAAAATTGCTGGCTATAGGAAATGTTATTTTGTTTTCAAAATATGGCAAAGATGTGAGGGGGATCCCTAACATAATACTCTTTATGAAAGCATTAGCTGCTTTTGTTACATTTTTAATAATATGCAACCACTTCTTCACCTGAGGAATACTAGAAAGAAATGCAGTCTAAAATATTTTGCACTGAAATGTAATTTCTCCATTAGTTTAGTCTGGAAACTGGTCTGTTTTAATACATGTTTTTTAAATGCTGTATGTAGAGGAAAAATCTGCAGACCACTGGAATACATTTGTTAAATTCTCATAATCTGCAGGGATACTGGGTGACATTGGCAGTGACTGTTCTACATTGAGGCTTTGTTTGGTTTATTTATTAAACTGTACAGTATTTAAAAATCAAACATAGCTTTAGTTAACACTAAGCTGAATTAGTCATGTCCATTAAGACATAACCTGAACTACTGAAAAGATCAATTTCCAGAAAGTTTATTCTGTATAAACTACATATGTTAGTCCTTAGTAGAGTATTTTTATTTTTGTTTTGGTTGTTTGATGTGCAATATGTTTTTTTGTATGCTGGTAGTAAAAGAAAATAAACTTTGATCTTCCATCTGTTGACTGTTTCTATCAGAAATTTAAATTACTATTGACTTTAAGGTTTTCAAGCTGTTAACACTAACAATTGAAACTTGGGAGGCAGCTTGAACCTTTAACTCTTTTATTCATAAGAGTTTCCTACCATGCCAATTTTCCATTCTTTTAAGGAGATGATGTAAAACATCAGTTAACAAGTCTAAAAACATAGACTTATCTTGGAGAATCACATAACTTGACTAACATATATAGGAATTAATGCAGATGTTTTTGATGGTGAAGTCAGTGTGTCACACTTCTAACCCATCTTTTCAGGCACATGAGCAAGGAAGCAGAACAGACAGGTGTGGATAAACGTCAGTGTAGCAAGGAGATGTTGGGAGAAGTCAGAGCAAGCTGGTAGTGCTGAAGTTGTGTGGACTTGAGAAAAAAAAATTGTCTTGCATAGTTTCATCAGGAATAAGGACAAAAGTATTTGGAACCACCTGTGACTCCAGCTGCTGTACCCAGTACAGCTACAGAAGATTTGTACTGACTGGGTTTGGGTATGTATTTCATTTAAGGAGAGGTGCCATTTTTAGTATGACTTAAGTGTTGACACTCCTTGACAATGTTCCCTTTTGGAGAAGACAAACTGTTAAATTGTTGAAACTGAAGTGTGCGCAAACATCTCCACAGCACAGGCAGCCCCCCGAGTGGAGAAAATTTGAAAAACAGAAGGAAAAAAAGCTGTGTTTAAAAAGTCGGTATTACTTGGCAGGGAAGAACTTAAGTACAGTAACATGTTAATATGGCTTGAAAGGTGCACTCTGGAACTGCTGCATGGCGGTGTTCCAGCTGGGTTTTTTCACCTCACTAAATGCTGTAGTAAAGCAACATTCTCCCCCTCTGCAGGTTTTAAGTTTTCCACTTTGTGCTTGTGTTACGGATTTGATCTCTCTTCTGAAGGCAGGGACCTCTCCGTGCTGTTGTTCCAGTGATCCTTACTAAGTGTCCTAGAACCAGCCTGCAGCCACACTGCGACACCACAGCCAAGGCTCCTGCCAGGACCGCTCTGACAGAGAGGCTGGGTAGTTCTGGAGAAGCAAAAGCTCTGAACTCCACTCTACCCACAAACAGATGGCTGTTAACTTGTATGCTGTACAGCAGCTCTGCTGTAGTTGCAGAAGGTCTGGCAAGATTCTTGGGAGTATAACAGAATTCTCTGGCCCCGATTCAGCTACTTACCAGGGGTACATCAGGCTCTATGCAGCTTGGTAAAACCAGCTTGGGAATCTTTAATGCTCTATGTAGAGTTCCTGTTTCCTAATCAGTATAACTGCAAACCTTATTATGAGAGTTCTAACTTTGTAGTGGAAGATAATGTATAAAAACTACAGTACTTAGTTGGAGTTTACTTAGTTGCAATTTATTAAATGCTATAAAATCCATTACAACAAAGTTGCTAAAAAATCTGAGCCATGCCAGACCCATCAGTAACACTTCAGCAGCCTAACCAAGATTGTTTTTCATAAGGCAAAGACAACCAAGTACATTTTTCTATACTTTATTTCTCTAGTCAGACAAGTACACACCTGTCCCCATTCTTCCCATCAAATAAATCCTCTTGATTCTTTCCACCCCCTCCCCAAATAGGTTCATCACCCTAACTTTGGCATTTGAAAGAACAGCAGCATGAACTTTAAACATAGCTATGTTTAAACAAAAATTAGGTAACAGCATGTAAGTGTACCTGTATGTGGTAACATGCACTGGCCAAACCAAGTTACTACTCTCTTACACTGAAAATACTTGAGTGGCAGATTGTGCTGCTTAATAAAGAACAGCAATCAAAAAAAAACCCCAAACCCTTTAAGCCTTTCTCCATCTCACATTTCCCCAAAAAATGACTAAGTAGTGAGTGGGGAAGGAAATACCTCCCTGGATTTTTATGTCCAGCTTCATTTATATTGTCAAAGACTGCCTTAAGCCATTTATTAAAAATAATAATTTGCAGGGACAAACCCTCTGATTCTCTCCTTTTCATTTTTTAGCTTGATCTTCCAGTAAATCTTTAGCTTCATTGATTTTGGCTGCTACATAGGGAGAGCCACCTAGAAGAAAGATAACCTCACGTCACATCAGATGAAGATAATGCCATAGTACACAGGAAGAAGAGTACGGTCTGAAAGTTATTCAGGTTAAAGAACAAACTGCATTATGACTGAAGCTGTGTAAATTTACACATACAGTCACTGCAGTAGCTAAACGTGCAGACAGCACATTCCTGTTAGGTTGCTTTTAGTTTACTGGAGTGGATTTTTTCCTCTGGTCATAAATGAATTGGTCACTAATGAGTTAGCATAAAGTTTGTTGTGAATACAGAAGCATTAAACTAAGAAGTCTGCAGATAAACCTTTCCCCCCAGTTCAAGGCCAGCATAGGAATTGCTGCTGCACGAGTAGATTAATTCAGTTTTTAAACATGACATACAAATGACTTGCAAAGATACTAGAACAGAATGCACAGCATGAATCCACTGAAATTGTAACTGACCATGAGGTGCAAAGATCTCCAGCATGTATTTGGAGCAATTATGCCATTTACTAGCCCTAGAATTACTCTGTTTACTTGAAGCTTAATTTAATTTCAGTCATGTAAAACATGAAACACTCCCAGCAGGGTTTGGATAGCTATTTCTAGGTTCTGCATATATTGAATAAAGTTAATGTTGAAGCCAACTTCTGCTAGGTTTTATCTAGGAAAGGCATATCCCAAGGATTATTTTGGATTTTGGTACATTAAATTAATGCAGTTAAACAGTCACTTTAAAGGCAGACATTTTACCTTTTAAGTGAGGATTAAAAAGTTAAATGCCAAGCACTAACACATTATTCTACTCACTGAAGTAAACAAAATTTAGAACAGGTATAGATGCCTCAAGTTAACTAAGTTAAAGCATAACAAGATTCTGAGCCTTCAGAGTACCAAAACCAAATACTTCATAGTTTAGTGTCTTCAACAGATGCAGGAAGGCTCAATACTTTCTATTCATGGTGAACTGCCAACACATTCAGATCAGCTCAAACTCACAAGCACACAAATATACTCTGGGCTTTCATCTAAAATTAAGGCGACTTTAAGTCTTATTTTAACAAATATTTAAATCTGATATGCACAGAAGATAGAGCAAGTAACACGTTGACATGCTGAATCTGTCTACTTGCTTTAGAGCATTCAAACACAAAAATATGCTCCAAACCCCTCAGGATTAAAGCACCCTAAAATTTTTTTTCTGAATTTTCTGGGGTTTTTTTAGTAGCTGTGGTAGTCATATGTCAGTCACTTAATCCCTACACGATTCTATTAAGCTGTGTTAAAAACACATATTAATTAATCAAGGTGACTTAGTTTACTTACCTTTATCTGGATGATTCAAAAGCATGATCCGTCTATGAGCTTCTCTAATTTTACTTCTATTGGCTGTAGGGCTTTAAGAGAGAGGGAAAAGCTGACTTAAGGGAACCTCCTAAAATCCCCTAGATCTTTAAAAAATGTCTCAGGATAAGCTAGCACTCCATCTTATCCATAAACTCTTTGGCTTACATGTATGTTTTTTCTTTTCCTGTTATGGTAAGTAGTATTTAAGTCCTGGAGAGGGTTTCCAAGGTTTTTCCAACACTATGTCAAAGAAGACATGCTGTAACAGTCTAATATGGTGGGGGTCATTCACACAGTTGAAAAAAACTGAATTATGTTGCAACATTTTTACTGGGATAACTTCCTAAAGGCCAGAGGAAAAAAAAAAATGAAATTTGCTCTTGATTTATTTAAAAAACAAACAACTGCTTGTATAAACTTCACAGCTGGAAGTTGCCTTCAAGCAGAAATGGTTCTTATTCTGTATTTTACTAGATAGATTTGTGTATTTGGTCTGAAGTCTTCTCAGCTTTTAGCAGGGATAGCTACCATACTCATATCTAAGATATTCTAAAAGTGATGAATTTACTCCACGTGCAGGAAGGGGTTTGCAGCACCTTCACACTGCATCTACCTGAAATTCACCAGCAGTGACAGGAACCACAAGGGAACAGCACAACCATGTTCCCCACACTGAGTGAACCCCAAAGCTTCCTGAAAACAGCATCTTTACCCGGACCTGTACATGGCTTTTGAATGTGGTAGGAATTTGCAGATGTATGGAAGTCCAACTAGAGTTACCTTTAAGCAAGCTAACATGCAGCAAAGAAACCCAAGTAAGGATTGAAAATCCTGACAGGTCACTCCCTATTTCCTGACTTGGCAGTGACATTCCCAGGGGAAGCTGGGCACAGGACAGTCTCAAGCACTGAGAATGATGTCCTTTTCAAACCAGGCCAGCAACTAAACAACATCATAGCCTCATTTTTACCTTTCATTTCTAATAAATCTCCTTTTACCTCACTCCTAGTATTAAAGCTGCTTCTCGTTTAGTCATTTTGGGTTCAAATCCACCTCTGTAATAACCACTGAAGGCCTGAAAGAGAAAACATGTTGGTTAAAAAAAAAAATAAATTTGTTATTAGTTAAAACAACTCATTATTGCTTTAGTAGCTGCTGAGCTTTTAGTCTGTAAGAATACTGTGAAGCTTCTTTTGTGCTTGTAATAAGAAATTCAGTGGGAGTATCATTATTTAAATGAGTACTTAACTTGCCAAAACAAGGTCTATTAGTCAACAAACACCAGAATTGCTGAGCTTAATTCTGTTATTACTGACAAAATTAGTACTAGAAGAAAATACAGCAATGCTATATAGAGACAATAGTTTGTAGTTATTTCACCAAGTAAATCTTAAAATAAAAAGATGCCACTGGTAAAAACTTACAGGTTTTGGTAGATTCTGAAGTGCTTGTTTTACTTGTGGCTCCATTTGCTTCATAGCTTTTAGTGCATAGCGACCTTTAAGAAATCAGTGTTGAACAAGGCTAAATGGAAAGTTTCATAAAGATTTAGCAACTCAGTGCAACTAGTAACGTTGAATTAACTTTTTGAGGACATAAAAAAGCAAGAACTTCGGAGCAGCGTGGCGGCTTCGGGGAGGCGATAGTGCGGATCTTCTTATTCCTGATGTAAATGAGCGACTTTGTTCCTGATCTAGAGGCGACTCGCGCACCAGATTCCTTTTTTAGAAAAAGTCGGGTTTCCTCCATCCCATTTTTCTTGTATTTTAGTCTAGTGGTTTGCTCCCCCTCCCTGACCGTCCCGTTTGCGGAGAGCTGGGCTCCTCCCGCCTGTCCCTGCCTTACCACCCGATCCTGAAGATGTCGGCGCTGAGGGAGCCTGAGCGCGCCGGCCGCCGGGGGGGTGGCAGGGCAGGCACGGCCTCCAGGTGGATGAGCTCAGTTATCTGGTTGCTGAAGATTACTGCGAAGTGAGGGAGAATTACAGGCCTGGCACTTGTGTTTGAATATTATTAATAACAGTGACGTCTGCTAATACAGTGATGCATGCAGCACAGCCGAGTGTCCCTCTGTTTGTCTGTAGTTGGAGTCTGAAGCCGCAGTTCTGGAAGCTGGACAGCGCGGCAGTGAGACCCTGCCAGCCTTCAGCCCTCACGTACCTCAGTGGGTCTGCAGCAGTGAAAAGCTTTAGTGTCACCCTCTGCGCTTGTAGGAGGTGTTGGTGCCCTCGCGGGCTCCTGGAGGACCTAGTGACGGAAGGCAGATAGCTTGTGGTTGCTTAAGGCCTCAGACTCAGCAGCCCTCACATAAGCAGTTCAGTATGAGAGCTGATTGTTGGCCAAGAAGCTTGTAAATTTGGCTGGCTCTTGCAGCAGAAGATAGGATTTTTCTTTTCTGCTGTATAGTTTCTGTGAGTACCAGGTTCACTTTGAATATGTCACAACTTCAGTTTGGGCTTGAACTGGGACTTTTTTCACTAAAATTTCAACTGCCTGATTTAATGTCTTGTGAAGTAATGTCTGGAGGTAGTCTCCTGTCTCTTTCCTTCTTGCAGCAGTATTTGGCTAACATGCTACAAGAAAATAACCCACTGCCTTTTAAAGAGGGTAGAAGAAAGTTTTTGGTTAAGGCACTTGCACTTGTACAAGTGTTTCATGCGACGGAAATAAAAATAAACTTTTATATTTGAATCAAATTCATTCATTGCAGAGCACGAGGCCCCTGACAGCCTGTAAGACCTCCTCAGATATGGAAAGGGGAGCTAGCAAGTGGCAAACAAGTAGATGTTTTATGGGGTGGAAAAAAACATCTAGAAATGTATGGGTCTGGTAGCTAACTGGAGTGTATTCATATGTAGAAGAGGATTTGGTTTTAAGATGTTTTCCTTTGTCCATTTTCTGTCAGAAAAGGGAGGTAATGACTTTACTGGGGCATGACTAGTGTTTAATTTTTCATACCATCTAAACCAATAAACTAAGAGAAAGGGACTACTTCCCTGTAATTAATTACATGAGGATTGATTCTTCCACCTTGACAGAGCCTTTTGCTACATCCAGATCTTAGTGGCTTTCAGGAGAAAACTATCTGAAGGGAGTTTTAGTTTAGTTTTTTCCTCCCTTTCCTCAGTCCCTGTTTAGGACGGTTGGTAGCTTTACTGGCAAAGGGGATTTTGAAGATTTATACTTAGTCATTCTTTCTATTGTGAAATTTCTCATTTCTAGAGAAAAAGGACATTATCATAGAGTCACAGAATGGTTTGGGTTGGAAGGGACCTTTGAGATCACCCAGTCCCAGCCCCCCTGCCATGGGCAGGGTCACCTTCCACTAGCCCAGGTTGCCCAGAGCCCCGTCCAACCTGGCCTTGAACCCTTCCAGGGAGGGGGCAGCCACAGCTGCTCTGGGCAACCTGTGCCAGGGCCTCACCACCCCCATGGTAGAGAATTTATTCCTTATAGCTAATCTAAATCTATCCTCTTCCAGTTCAAAATCATTACCCCTTGACCTATCTCTACCCTCCCTGATAAAGAGTCCCTCCCCAGCTTTCCTGTAGCCCCTTTAAGTACTGGGAGGCTACTCTAAGGTCTCCCTGGAGCCTTCTCTTCTCCAGGCTGAACACCCCCAACTCTCTCAGCCTGTCCTCACAGGGGGTGCTCCAACCCCCTGAGCATCTTCGTGGCCTCCTCTGGACTCACTTGAGCAGGTCCATGTCCTTCTGATGTTGGTGCCCCCAGAGCTGGACACAGCACTGCAGGGGGGGTCTCAGGAGAGCAGAGTAGAGGGGGAGACTCCCCTCGCTCGCCCTGCTGGCCACACTGCTCTGAATGCAGCCCAGGACACAGTTGTCTTTCTGGGCTGTGAGCACACACTGCTGGCTCATAGTCAGTTTTCCATCCACCAACACCCTCAAGTCCTTCCCCGCTGGGCTGCTCTCAATCCACTCTTCGCCCAGCCTGGATCTGTGCTTGGGATTGCCCTGACCCATGCGCAGGACCTTGCACTTGGCCTTGTTGAACTCCACGAGGTTTGCACAGGCCCCACCTCTCCAGCCTGTCCAGGTCCCTCTGGATGGATCCCTGCCCTCCAGAGTGTTGACAGCACCACACAGCTCGGTGTCATCGGTGAACTTGCTGAGGGTGCCTCGATCCCACTGTCCATATCTCCCAAAAAGATGTTAGACAGCACTGGTCCCAGCACTGACCCCTGAGGAATGCCACTCGTCACATCATGATTGTCACATTATGAAATGTATAAATTTCCACATGAGTTGGGAATGGGTTAATAACATACCTAACCCTTCAGCTGTGACAGCCCTTTAGAGAAAAGGCAGAAAGGGAGATCTTGGGAAGCCTCTGCTTAAGAGAGTGATTTCATCTTTACTGAGGAGAAAGGAAACTTTTATCTGGAAGTGGGAAGGCCTGGCAAGAGTTGCAGTGGGATGGAGGGATTTGCATTATTGGTGTGTGCTTGGTATCAGCAACTGGGCAAGACTGTCGGCTGAGCCTAGAGGTGGAATAATTCATTTTATAATTATTAGATTAAATAATTTCTAATACAGCATTTGAGGATCAAATGTCATCCTTCCTTTAAATATGCTGTGTGTATTTTTACTCCATGAGACAATCTGAACTTTGATTCTTCCCACAGTCTGTTGCACTTCCCTGTCAGAGCTAAGGGAGAACTAGATGTGTCCCAGCTTGGATGTCACTGTGGGCACATTATGTTGTATGAAGAAGACAAAGCCAGAGTTACAAAATGCCACACTTGCTAAGGAAGATATTTTGGAGACTTCTAACATGTTCTGAGTATGGTCTTTTTTAGGGTTTCTTTTAGTCCCATGTGTTTTTAGGAGGCATATGATATATGAAATATTATTCTACCTTCTGCTAGCTGAAGGGAGAAACAGTTGCTTTCCCTTCCTTAGCACTGCCTGTCTCTAGAATACTTTGGCATGGGTGATGGGTGTCAGCTATTGTATCTCTTTACTCACCACAGTACCTAAATGCTGCCAGTAAGCTTTCCAAATCTGCATCAGAATTAAAGTAAGTTTTCTGTGCATAAATTTGCAAATAGCTGCTCTAAGCTTGTCTAAATCTATTCCCTTTGCCTCCTCTGCTGCTCAGGAATGTATGCAGTGCAGAAAGGGACTGGCTGGGTGTTTAAAAGCTATGTTTATGGTCATGTCAGTTCACATTTCAACAGACAAAGTCAGTGAACACTTACATATCTGAGTAGCTTTAATAACAAGTGCTTGACGGATCAGAGCTGTAATATATTATTTCTGAAACCATAAGGTTTGTGAATTATTACCTATATATAGGTTGTGTTCTCCAGAAACTAATAATCTAGATGCCTCTCTTGGCAAATGGTGTTTAAAGTCTTACCAAATGCTGAAAGTTGATTTTGTTCACGTTCTATACATAAATACTAAGCCTGTGCTCGTTACACAACAGGTAGCTTCATGGTTTTTAAGCCTTGGTCCTAAGATACTACAGGTAGAGCTTTATGGCCATGTTGGTGGCCGTATAGACACAGGGGCATGATGCTGAAATAATAGTTATTACTGCTGATTTATAGGGAGCTGGAATTGGACATCATGAGGAGTATCAAAATCAAACAAAACCACAAAATTGAGAAAAGCTTGTGAAACCGGAGTTGATTTTATTTTTACCACAAATAAAGTTGGAATTGACTTGGTTTGCCATCAGAATTTCCATTTATTTAGACACTGAAGTTCTTTTCTATTTGCCTGATTAGTTCATTTTACAGCACCTTATTCCTCTGATCTTCTATCAGTCAGCCTTGTGGTGGTATGTGGAAGGTCATTGACAGGGGAAAATTAAGCGCTAATGGGCACAAAGTGAAATAGATGCACTGTAGTTTTTATCCCTTCTACAGAATGTCTGGTTTTGAAATCAGGAGGCAGGCAGAATTACTGAGTGTTTAAGAAATATACTCTCAGTTGGAGTACAAAAGCTTTTGTTTTGCCTACTGTGTTTCTAAACTGCTCATTTCTATTTTCCAGAGAAACCCTGAAGCTTTTGTAGTTTCTTCTGTGAAGAGTTTTATCATACTGCTGTCTTCAGGTTTTCCACTCTGGGGTTGAAATACCTCATGATAGAAGGTTATTTTTCTTTTGGAAGCTTTATCTTACTGGGCTATTCAGAGCAGCTGGTATGTAGCACATAAGCCAACTTTTCCATTAAAGCAGACCATTTCTGCAGAAAACTGGCAGTACTTTCTCTTCACTGTATCTTCCACAAACTGGACAGAAGGTGAAAAAGATAGTTGTGCTTTCAGCAGGTTTGTGGGATACCTGTTAAATGACTATTTAAACATTTGTTTAAGTGAAAATTTCAGTTCTACGTTGTCATGTACACAGCTGACCAAATCTTACACTGCTTATTCCAGTATGTGCAGTGGTTCAACTGCCAAGCTGTTAAAGGCTTGCAGACTTTCACCTTGGAACACCAAGATACAGAATTTCTTAGGCACTTTTAAAGCACATTATTTACTTATGTTTTAAGATATATATTGTAAAAATGAAGTTTAGGTAGAATATCTTGGAGACGCTGGTGTCCTTCAAACTTTTT